TGTCAGTTATTATGCCAAGCCCATATACCTTATTCGAGCTTTCGGACATCCCATTCTATTCATTTTACTTGAGCCATACATTGACCTTGTTATTTATTCGCTTATCAATCTAGACTGTTTTTATATGAGCGTATATGTGTATGCCCTTCTTATTCCATTAATCACATGTCTGTAGCTTTATTTTGTCTGACTATAAATATTGAGTAACGCTTGACTAAGATGGAGTTGGCTTCCCAGCCATCCTCCCTGCGCGTCATTTTGCTCTGTTCTATTACATTCACTTTACATACAAAATATATGTATTCAAAATCCCGTTCTCGTTATTTGACTTATCTAAATTCCGTTATTGACTGACGCGATTTAAGTCGACGATGATATACGAGAATCAGAGATAGCAAACATTCGTACGCTCTAAATAGGAGTCAGATTCACGGGCCACAAAACGCACTACTGAGGAGTCCCACAGTGGGACGAAACGGCCGTCCAGTGCTTCCAGGTTTTCAATGGTAGTCTAACCTCAATCGATTCATGATCTCAATCAAAACTTAACAATCTCCACAACCCCCTGTACTGGTGTTATAATTGTCATATTGTTCGAAATTATACTATATTACAGTGTCGGTCAGTCAGTCAGTTACAACATAGGACCAGGCACATATCACACACATTACAGTACGAGAGAAAGAGTTCGGTGGTGTCAAAATTCATTATGTTAGACAACTGTAAAACTAATGATGGCATATTATTGGATTATTGCTTTTTTCCGAAATGAATCCTTATTCACTGATTATTTTGTGTTCATGGTAAATTACGTACACTTAAACTAAGTCACTTTATGATTAACTTCCATTATGCAAGTGAATTGACTGGAATAGTCTTCTATCGAACAATATATTAATTTTAATGTTTGTACTCATTACGAATTAAAATATGTCTGTGAATTGATTTTATAAAGACTGTTTGATTTCCTTAAACAAAACCTCAATGTGGTTGGAAATATTCATCAGGAAACCCTAGAGGTCAGTTACAGCTTGAGTAACTCAATGACGACGGTCCAGATCTCACGGAAACCACCAGTTCCATCAAGATTCCATCTCCAGATTAGTGACAACTAGCACAAAATCTAAGCCAAACAAAGTTTCCTAACTACCTACCACCTGCCATCATAACGCGATGTTCGGTCACTTAGACTAGCGGCCACATTGCAACCTGGTCGATAGAATTCCACCAGTATTGAAGTACCAGACAAACATGATATTGATCACTCCGTAGTGATTAATTACCGTACATAGAAATATCAACAACTGTGTTAAGTATCATGCCATTAACATTGAGACCTACATATTTCTTAGATTCCATTCTATCTGAGTTCATCGGCCTACACATTATTGCGAAATATCATCAAAAACCAGACAGCTACACCTAGCAATTTTCTCTATTTTCGATGACTTTTTTTTATATAAGTTTCCATATTTATTTTTTGCAAAATCTAAACTATTTAAATAAATTTAGAAACGTTATTTATGTTACAGGTTGGTGGTATATCGGGTTTTTTGCATACAAGTTTAGCTGAAGTACAAGCTGTTGTTGGAGCACATACAACTAGCCTAGGTGGAAATGCATTATTATCATATCACTTAAGTGAAGTTGTTGTTCTTCGACCAACTTCAAGAAATCAAGCCCAATGTTTGTTAAATGTTTGCGGAGATATGGCTAGATTAAGTTGGGAAGAAATAACAAAGAAAATTCCTAAAATCTAAAAAAAAAAAAACAATTTCAGTTGTCAACTTAAAACTACATATTTGCACAATTACTGAAATTTTCAACAATTCAATTGTGAATTCGATCGGATTTACTTTGATTTTATTTAATCTGCATAATAAATAAATAAATATGTATATATTTCCTTACTGTCTTTTTGAATTCATCATTTTAAGCTCATTTCCACTGGTATATTGTATTGTGGTGCGTGCTACTTATATTGATATAAGTAGTATGTGACGCGAGTTAAAAACGTAATGTCTGGGCAGCTGAAGATGGGGGAAGATCAAGAAAGTAAGAGTGGGAACAATGCAATTTGTAAGAAAACCTATAAACAATGAAATGTGAGACAATAAATTGATGTTTGCAACAGAAACAGTCCAGGTTGATATGATGGATTGATATTTTGCAAATTAACGATTCGCTATATGGTTTTTCTAGTTTACTAAGTAACTCTGTAATTTTGTGATGAATACATTCGATTGTCCCCCACTCATGTTCTGTTCACTACAGTATTATAACTCTGTACTAATCAAGTCATTACTATTATGTGACTTACTTAATCGATGATCAAGCATCTTTAACAGGATATAAAGTAAGATACATATTTTTTCAAAATATAAAACATTAGCAAACGAACGTAATTTTGATGTTTACCAAAGGTATCATTCTCATTTTTCATTTTTGTGATATCGAAAATTACTTATCTCAGATTTCTTTCTATAATACAAATCTTGATATAATCAACTCATTATTGGTAATCATGTACAAAATATTATTGTTGGATTGTTAAAGTCTAAACTGAATAAGACCTGAAGTCCAGTTGTTAGATGAATATAATTAGTAATAAAGCCGAAAACATGTCAGGAGGTGTGTTAATAATTGAAATAATGAAAACTTTTTCTCATATCCTTTCATTATTGTTTAGACAAATTTACGAATACTATCAAAATTGTTTATTCGTTTTACAGTAGGCAAAAATGATAAATATACATATACAATCTGTATAATAATCAGTTCACTACTTGAATTACCTTTGTCCACATCATACAAGTTGATAAAAATGACAGTTTTTCTTTGTTTATAAAAGTGATTACAGTCAAATAAATTGATCAAAAACTAAATCCAACTTTCATACGAAAATTTAAATAAAAACGTTTGCTATTAACTACGGAGGTCAAGTCAAGACACTTACTTACCTGCAGTCAGATCAAATCAGAATCAGATAATAGGGACAAAATAAAACCTTAGTATGGTATTTTAATTCGATTGATCTATCCTAGATGAAACTAATTGATATTTGCTTTGAATCTGAGTTTATAAAAATGTTATCGAAAGAGATTTTGTGGCGATTTTAGAAATTTCAATAGTTGAAATCGTGAGTCAATTAAATCTAGACCACCGTGGAAAACCTAGAAGCACCGAACGGCTATCTCGTCCTAGTATGGGACTCCTCAGCAGTGCGCGTCCACGATCCTGCCCACGCGAGATTCGAACCCAAGACCTATCAGTCTCGCGCGAGCGTGGGTGCGCATTGCTTAGGAATCTCATTTTAGGACGAAACGGCCATCCAGGTTTTCCATGATGATCTAGCTTCAATTGACTCATGATTTCAACTATTGAAATTTATAAAAATGATCAGTATATGTCAACCAACGCTTAAGCTTCATTATTAGTTCATTCCGCATTTTAATTTTAAAAAAATCAACGTGACTAAGTGTTTGTCACAAAGACTGTTGTGGGTATTAGGATGGAAATACCTCGAAATTTTTATCAAAATGTTCTGTCATATAATGAACACTGAACTTACAAACCACCAGTGATCAGAAACTGTACGCTGACAATTCTTCGAACACAACAGTACATCATAATCACTACCCATGCTAAATTAAACATGATTTACCCTGGGTTACTCAGTGCTCCCCAACACAAAAACTTACGTATGTTACTTTCCAGTAATAATACATTTAAGTGTACAGAATACCAGATATAACCTTAGTTTCGATCAGAAAATCCCACTATTTTTCTTCCCAATTTAATATCCATATTTTCTTCCTACCTCCGGGTTCATCATCATAACCTCTTAGTAGTAGTAGTAGCTCAGCTAACATGTCTGCGTTACTATAAAGAGATACTGTACAAATTATAATTAAATATATAACTAGAGCACTGTGAAAAAATGCACTTATATTTGAGTCAAGCGCAAATATCATACTTAAACAGTTTTGATAATCTACTTGAATAAGTGCATTCAAAATCAATCTACAACATTATGAAGATGTAACTGTGTTTAACTATATCAATCCCACCATAGATTGAACTGTAAATAAGTGATATGAATCAAAATATCGAAAATAATCTATCTTTATAATTATCGTAACGTCACATATAGAGAGAAACAAGATTAGAAATATCAACAAAATTCAACTGAATACAATGACATAGTACTATTTATAAAAGTATAATTGGCTTAATATTCGAACCAGAATCTAATGGTTAATATCAATGGTTTAAGTCACTGAAAGATGATAAGTTTCTAATAAGAAAATTACAGATATGTCTGACTTAAGTTCAGAATTTCAAACACCTAATACATCTTATCCACTTTGAAAGTAAAGCAAAAATTAACCTCATAATTTTTTTATATCCAAACTAAAGAATACCCCTTATTTATTATACATCTTGTTGAGAATATCTGACGCGAAATCGGCAAATCGTTTCACACAATGATATTAGAGTTAGTTACTCATGATTACACTTAAGCTGGCAATAAAATGTTTAATTCTGAGATGGTGAAGAAGATTTGTAGCTCAGATGGATGATTTTGATGAAGTTTTATTCTCTGAGCTGAATGATTTGGTCGTAGAGCTTATATCGTTCTTCTGAACGTCATCGAATTTCTCTACATGTAGCTCACAGTTTGTCTTGTATATCTCAATATTGCATGATACTTATTGTATCTCCCAATAAAAGATACAACCAAAACAAACAAGTAAACATTAACAGGTTTAAGGTCAATAAGAACCAATCAACATCGAGGTATACAAGACAAGTTGTGAGCTACATGTGGAGAAATGCGAACATTTCACTTCTACCTAAAGTTTATACTGATGATATTGTTCAGAAGAACATTGTGAAAGTCCCACGACTAAATCATCCATTTCAGAGAACAAAACTTCATGAAAAATATTTAATATTTGATTAACAGAATAAAACCAGTCTTGAATAAAAAGACAATATTATTATTATTATTATTATATTTAAATTTGTAATGTTTCCTACATACAATTTGAAAACAAAATGAAAAAAAAAAGAAAAGATTATCACTTTCTTCATTAAGTTAATATGAAAACGGCAAAATGTATAATTTATGTGTACCTAAATCAGTCTAGGTATATAAGATACAATAAGTATATTAAGGTAAAGTGAAATGAAGTTATAAATAAGAACATTTGCAATGATATTCAAATGAATTATACTAAATAATAATGATAATAATGAAAGCACAAATATAAAGTTCTATTAATAAAGTGTAATACTTTAAATTGACTTGAATTGTGAAATAATTTAATGATCTAAAATGCGTAGATTTCCTGAAACAATTTTATTTTCTAATATTGAACCTGGTGGTATATTGATAAGATTACCAAAATTAGAAACTATAATCACTGTACCCTGAAAGAAAAGAATTTTACACAAATGATTGTTTTGTTAAATTTGTTTTATAGAAGAAAAAGCAAATAATTGTTATCAATGTAGTCAGTAAATTAGTTATAATGTAGGATCAAGCATATATGTTTATCGGTTCATGTTGATCCCCTGAAACAAACCAACGATGAACTTAAATAGATCATATTGCCATCACAATCATCGTTAGAGAAGGTCGATAGAAGATTGTTGCTCATTCTAGAATACTAGATTGGACTTCGACTATGCTCTAATAAGGGCACGTACGTATCTGCTTACATCTCACTGGACGCAGAAAAGCGACACTAAGAAGATCCATTTGAATTGAATTGAGTAATGAGAAAACCAAAATTAAGTTTCATGAACAATTGAGGTCACACTCAGATAGTCCTGAAAACGAGGCTGACCCAGATGTTGCTTGGAAAGATATACAAACAGCTGTGAAAACAGCAGTGACATCTGTTAGTGATTTAAATTAAAGATTTAGAAAAAAAACAGATTTCTTCTACATCTATTGCACTGATGAATCCTCGTAAACTCATCCCATCAGTTTCTGAACATGATGAAGAGCGAAAACAAATCAGATCTAGGTTAGGCAAAAGTCTAAGTAACGACCGTGAGCAGTGGTGGGCAACGAAAGCAAGAGATGGAAAAGTCGGCGGCTGTAAGTAACGCAAGACAGATGAAAAATTGAATTTTACGGTTAGCATCACACACTGACCTTAGTAAGAAAACCGATGAAAATCAAGAAGCACTGGACAGTTGGTTTCATCCTAGCATGTGGACTACTCAATGATGCAAATCTAAAACCCCACTGCATATCAAACTCATGATTCTCAAATATAATGGCGAGTGTGTAACCTTTAGATCACTGAACTGCCATCCAATTGTTCATATATGTAACTCCAATTAATTCGCGTTATTGCATTACCACCTTTCTATGTCTTACTCACTTACGCCTGTTACTCCCAATGAAGCATAGGCCGCCGACCAGCATTCTTCAACCCACTCTCTCCTGGGCCTTCCTTTCCAGTTCGATCCAATTGTTGTACATTCTTCTCATGTCTGTCTCCATTTCTCGATGTAATGTGTTCCTTGATATTCCTCTTTTCCTTTGGTCTTGAAGATTCCATATGAGGGTTTGCCTTGTGACACAGTTCGGCGCTTTCCTCAATGTGTGTCCTATCCACTTCCATCGCTTATTCCTGGTTTCGTCCTCCGCTGGGATCTGCTTTGTTCTCTCTCGTAGTAGGTTCTTGTCGATAGTGTCTGGCCAACGGATTCGAAGTATTTTGTGTAGACAACTCTTAATAAACACTTGTATCTTCTGGATGATGGCTTTAGTGGTTGTCCGAGTTTCCGCCCCACACAGTAGAACCGTCTTGACATTTGTATTGAAAATTGTGACCTTGGTGTTGGTTGAGAGTTGTTTTGAGTTCCAGATATTCTTCAGTTGTAGATACGCTGCACTTGCTTTGCCGACTCGCGCCTTCACATCTTCATGGGATCCGCCTGGAGACCCTCCAGGGGCTGCTGCCGGTCCCAAGCCCGGATAAAGGAGGGTTGGGCATGGGGTTAGCGGCTCCATCGCGTAGAAAACTGACTCGCCAAAAAACGCTTACCAGAAAAATTATTCAAACCTTTTTATGTCATTAGTGGATAAATGCCTCATAATCGATATGGTTGAACTCCACTGGCCACAACTTCACTTTAGACTTCCAAGAATCACTGCTTGACATAAGTCACTAATGAGCACAACCTCTCATTTAAAAAAGTTTGAAACTGGTTTATATTCTATTTCATTCGAAATAAATCACAGAGACTTTGTAACAGAAATGGAAATCTTCTAGTGAACACTTTAAAAACAATATCTAGTGATCGAAATCATGTAAGTGTATTTCAATTGTCTCTTGCTCTCCAAACCCAAATTACTTGATATTGTGCAAGCAGCAAGTATGATGCGTGACTTTCCAAGCGAATCTGTTCTTTAAAATCTAGGTTTTACTGTGAATACCGTTCAAAATAAAAGGTAGATTAACATAGATTGATTAATCACGTAATAGTGATCAATATCCTGTTTCTCTAGTTATCATTTAGTTCTGCAAATCTATTTCTATCAATCAAGTTATGATGTGGCCACTAGTCTACGTGACTTGATATGTTACTGGTTACTACTTGGTGATCAAGTAACGTAAATATTTAAGTCTTATAGGTTAATCGTGCGCTGAATAACTTATTAATAATATTTAAGAGAGTACCAATTTCCATAGGAATACAAGTACGTCTTATTAACGAGACCTATGTCCAAGGTATTTTTTACAATATCTCTAACCATCTAACATTAAGATAAACATACATCGACCCCATTACTTCTCATGTTTTCCGCTTTATTTAGTTATTTGCATCTCGTAAGATACTGTTTAGGAAAGTTCATACGGTTATCACTTGATTAAACATAATAGTATAAACCTTATTTTCTGTACATAATACTATTAAAGTTCAAATTATATTTTATAAAAAATCAAAACAACTATAATACAGTTACTTTTAGTCTAAACATTACCTTTAAAACTACTCCTTTTCCAAAGTATACATCTCCTGATACAGTTAAATGATCCAATTCCAATAGATCTGGTATACTTGTAAATCGACTTAAGAAATCTTTAACTTTTTTAAAATGATTACCAAGTTTTACTAAAGGCACAGATGGAAAACTTCTTAATGGAGACAATGATAAACTTCCACCATCTAATACATACAAATTAGACATTACTAATAATAAATCTGAAGTAGTTTTAACTGGTAAGAAACGACTTCGTGGAACATTAACACCTAAAAATAGATGATAATTATTAAGGTTATAAATGAAATAATGTAAGTAAAATTGTATCTTTAAAATGAAAGCGAAATGTGTATATTATTAATCATGGGGTAAAGTGTACAATTTCTCCTTGTTAGAGAAAAGTAACACTATAAAACTTCTTAGATATGATAATCCTGTTCTGTAATTACATTAGTTTATCCATGAATGAACTATTTTCATTTAAAGAATGACATGTATAGTCATATGATAGTTAATTTGACTAAAAATAAACTACCATCAAAGTAACCAATTATCTATCGTTTTTTTTCTTCAAATCATTACAATCGACTCTCTAGTATTGTGGCATGTGCTACTTATATTGACATAAGTAGTATATGACGTTAGTCAAGAAAAGAATACCTAGCAGTGGAGAGACAAGAGGGTCGAACAGTAAAGAAGAGAAACAAAATGCAATTTGTATGAAAATGCAAGAACAACAAAATCTGATTCACTTTAAGATAATTGATGGACATTTTGCAAATTAAGCATTTACTTTATGATCGTTAGATTTTATTAACAAGTTCTGTAATTCTCTGTCAAGCACTTTCGTTTGTCCCCATTGGTGTTCTGTTCACTACAGTATCATCATTTAAATATAACTTATTAACTATATGTAAAACACATCGCCCACCTCATTTTACATTCGGTATAATATTCGCGGACCGAAATACCTGATCTAAATCAATAGTGGATAAGTCGGAATAAGAAGGCGAGTGCATATATTCTTTAATCCATAGTAGCATTTTATAACATCAATTTTATTTCAAGTGAAATTTTGATCAGTATGATATTGGTTTTATATTTTCCAGTGTAACATTACTTCAGTTTAATATGTGTGTACCAATTAAGTGTTTATTTCATTCAGTATAACAAGTGTGAACTTTTGATCTTATATGACCATTATATTCTATGTATTATTATGTGTGAATTTTGTATATGCTTTACACTAAACTTGGTTAACGTTTCATCTATATGGTGTTTACTTACTAATTATCATGTTCATTTAAAATCAGTGTGTAAATAAGCGTCCCTAACTTAATGTTGGTATGATTTTAAATGACCTATTTTGATGACTTATTTTCAGTATTTTTCATGTTCATTTCTATCAGCTTTTTTGTTTTTACTTGGTTCCTATTTCCAATCATAAGCAATAGGATCATAGATAGAAAAGAGCTAGCAATTACATAACAGATGGCATCCCAAACACAAACATAACAACGGTGAATGTTTTAATTCGTAAGATATAATGTAAAATATCAAGTAATTGATTCTCTGAATGATCAATAGTCAAGAACATTATAACCATATATATATATTCATTCTTACCAAAAGCACCATTAAATGACTTGATAGCAGCTCCTGCAGCCTCTTCTAATTGTAATATATTTGTACCAGAATCTAAAGTTTTAGGATTGACTATAATTTCCATTTGTAAAGTTTTTTGTTTAACACTACGATGTAAAGCTTCTAAATCAATCCAAAGATTATTAGTATTAAATATTTTAAATGTTCGTACACTAGCAAAATCATCCACATGTTCTTCAGGGACCTACAATTCAAATGAACATTTTAAATAATAATGATGATGATGATATGGTTTTCATAATGGAATTTTAACTTCTTTTTTTCTCATCATATTCAAATATATAATCATTAAATAAAATAAAAATGATACCTGAGCTAATTCTAAAAGTCTCAAATGTCCACGATATTGGGTTAATGTACCACCTTTAACATCAGCTCGTGTTTTATCAGTTACTTCCATAACAAACTCTGGTGATTGTTTATCATAATGAGATTCTTTATTCATTAAAAAATTTAAAATATCTTTAAAATACATGTAAAAATTAAGGAAAATAGTTTTATAAAATATTTAAATTCAGAATAAAGTGAATTCATAGATAACAAGTTATTATTGTCTATTTATATTTTATAGAAAACAAATTATAAAAATGAAGTAATTTTTCTGACATTTCGTAACTTGGTGTAATCGGCTTCTTCAGTGACCCAACCATTGTTGCTACCTTGATGTGGTAGTCAGGCTTGCCTATCGTGATAAACCAATCGAGCTATACTGGCTGGAACAATCATTCCTCAAGAACCTATCATGCCAAATAGGTCGGTTGAAGAGCAGTAAGACTAAAAGCAGCAAACCAAAGATCCGAAGGCAAAGTCGTACTGCTGACTGTACAGAGGCTTGACGGTAGTAAAGTGTTTCCTTAAAAAAAACCAGCATAACAGTGATGCTGCCTTTCCACAAAGAGCGGTGGGGTTAGAAAAAGTCGACTGTATTGTTAATTTAACATTTTATAAGTTATCTACCCAACAATTTGGTTTTGACAGGCTTTCTACAACAAACATTGGAAATGATTAGAATTTCAGTTGCTGACGTTACCTTAAACATAAGTTTTATGCCACCGACTGCCCCGACGTGCGATGTTTTATGGTGTAGGAGTAAGTTGGAAGAAAGATAGGGGCGGCCAGAACAAAACATGGCACAAATCCATGAAGTCATTGACAAGTGGACTGAGTCATGTTGATAGGTGTAGACTACCTGGTTGGGATCCGCGAGATGATAGCAACTGATGGTTAGAGACCTTGAATGACATGGCTCAAAATCATTTACAATGGCGCAGGTGTATCCACTCTTTGTGTTCTCCCAAATGCTAATATTCTTAATCCTCGTCTCTTTTTTTCTCTCCCCAAAGTTATTTCATTGGATTATACTGATTGAATAACAGCTTCAAACCGTAATCTTTCCGATTACTGCTTATAATTTTACTACCTCTACCATTATGGGATTTGAATCGATAATTGTATCTGTGTGCTAATGTGGTATGACAACTCGAAATGATGTACGTACATACGAGTTCTACGTTGTTAATGGCGGACTGACGGACTCACTTTTATCAAGCTGTTCTTTTAAATATTGACGAATATTCATCTAAACTTTATCTATAACTTGTCGAATAAATTTAGATAATTTAGATTCAGGAAAACTTGAATACAATACAAATAACTTGTATTAAAAAGCATTTAAATAACTACCGTCATCAAGAAAGGATACTTAGATCAACAGTTGCTCCAAGATTATCAATATTAGACAAGAAAACCCATTGTTTACCAATAGCTATCATTTTCTCTGCTAATCCACAAGCAACAAAACTACGATAGAAATCACCATGTCCAGGAGGATACCATTCTTCAGGATTATAGTTCATATCTTTAGAAGTCTTTGTTTCAGAATCATGACTTTCCTGACCAGCACATTTAGCAATAGGAAGTAATGACTCACGATTCAGACGAGGATAGCTAAACGAAGCAGAAAAAGTGACAAAACTTATTTTTTCAAAATCAAAATATAAATGGCAAATTAGCAAAAATAGTCAAACTATTAAAATGTTAATAACTATGGGTTATATTTTACTCAGTCGATATTGTTCAAATCCTCTTAGATAAATCATTTATGAATGGAATAGGATACAAAAGCGTATAATATTGATAAGCATTTTTTAATAGTTCCACTACCTCTCACATTTTAATTGTTTATTTGACTCGAATCTGTTTGTGTTAAAAATCCTCTAAATGGAATTCGAAAAATTGTCCATCATTTATTCTAAAACTTGAAAGTGTCAGAATGTTTCATTTCGTTGGTAAATCAGATTCAATAGTGAAAAGTTTTGTATTTAATAATAAAATCACTTACCAGCTCTGCAAAAACGTCAAAATTTGAACATTAACTTGCTGGTATTTGCGTAAAACCTTTTCAGTTTCACTATGTGTATTGAAGGAATTCATCAAAACCAAGGGAATACTAGTTCCGTATTCATTATTTAGTCTCTAAAACGGAGGTAATATAAAAGTGTTTACGTTGATCGCTAGTGGGACTTTCTGTGAATTAAGATGCGAAAGCATTTCTCAGACAAGGATACGTAGTAAACTTAGAAATAAGTAGCTAACTCAATTTTAAGAACAAATTACAATTTGCAACAAACAGGTAGCTATGTATTAAAACCGCTTTCTTCTAATGGTATTATTTCAACTCAACCCAAACATCAATAATACAAGCTGATTGAGATTTTCAGCTACTCTTACCATGATCAGTTGAAAGTATTTGTAATATGATATCCCAGTAGTTTATCATTAGAATTATCCGGGTTATGTTAAAAATGTAATTGGCTATTATAAAATATTTTGAGAAAAAATTCAATAATTCTAACTATATTGAAGTACTTTTTATTTTCTAAAAATTTTCATTATTCAGAAAAGTTAGAACTAGACTTGTGTATAATAACTTTCCATTCTTTCGGCTTCTTTATTGATAATCTCATCCAGATCTGCTGATGTTGGCTCTTGTAACTTAAACACGTAGAAAAATAGTGTCCAGCTGTATGTTGCTTATATTTAGTTTATCACAAACCTAACTTGTTACTTGTTTGGTAATTAACAGCGCTCTTGGTTCTTGAATTATGAATTGGCGAAATAAAAGACTTAAAGCTTGAGAACAAATATAATCGTACACTTATCATGATTAACAATTTGTATTATTGAGCTTGAATATTTTAAAATATTTGATACAATTTTATTACTAATAAATTTGACTAAAGCAATAAGATGAATACATTTTTTGGGGTTTTTGTTCAGTTGCATATGATTTTATGTCCCATATAAATTCAGGTAAACATAATAACAGCAATAAGTATTGAACAACTTTTCTATTCTTTTAGCTCACCTCGATTTGTTGTACAGTCAAGTCAAGAAAAGTAAGATTACTTCGGACAGAAATTAAGGATTTGGGTCCAGTACAACCCATTGTTGTACCCAAGCCACCATTTAGTTTCACTACTACTAACTTATTTAACTGTTGACGGATTACTTCACGGTTGGTAGGAACTTGAAGGGCATCGTACATTTTAATCTAGATATTGAAAAATGTGGGAATTAAAAAACACTTAAATAACATACAAACGTTTAGACGCTAAGCAAGTAATAAGTTAGATTGTTTTCTAAAGTAAAGGATGGTAAAAATGAGTAAATTTCATATGGTGAAAAAAAACAATTGTGCGACCGAAAACTCAAAATTACCACATCTTAATGGTAATTTTACTTCGTAAACTTTGGTAAATACGATAGATACATCCATTAACAATGATAATCGATTTAGAAATGCAGAACATTTCGTAGTAAGATTTCGTAATTACAAGCTGACGGAAATGTATAACCAGTTTATTTTTAGGTTTTTGAAGCTGTCTAGACATTGATTATCTTTCAATAAGTTATGGATTCTAGCTTTATCCCATTTGCATTGGTTTAGCAACTCATAGTCTTTATAGACATAGTACAATGAGCTTGACGCTTTGTGGTGTTTGTATTTCATCAGTTACTTAGTAGACTACTGAGAGCCTAATTAAAGTTAAAAATCACTTTTCCTCCAATTTGAATACTCGTGGATTCATGATTACTGAAGTAGGTGCTAGATGATCATGAGAATTACTAGTTAATTCATCAAATTTGACCGCTTCTATTCATCATACTGGTACCTTTAAATAAACGTTTCTTAATCGTAAGCTGCACCGCTCATATATACTACTAAACCAATTTTATACTTTTGTGTTTCGGTGAGATTTATCATATTTGGTATGTCACTTTTGTGAGATGATATTGTTTCACCAAACGTTCAGCGTTCAGTAATGGTAAACTGGTTAAATCACTTCTATAACCCACAACGTCTCACTTAAGCTTTAGATATGCATCAGAACTAGTTAAAATAGAGCCTCAATAGATGAAACAATGAATATTTACAAATTTCTTGTGACCAGCAGTATTTCAGAAAACTTACAACTGTGGTAGAAATTTTGTAAATTTTGAGTCGACTAATACATTTACTTCCAAGGCAGAGCAAGAATAACAGGATTCACAGAATAAGGTGAACTCGTTTTAATCCGAATTTTCTTATTATAATCAAATAACCTAAAACTGCAGACATCAATATCACTATGAACATAATTATTGACTAGGGTACGTAGAACTGCATTTATGATAATATTACTATTTGTAACTTCAGGTACTTTGCACCTAGGGAGAAAACTAGAAGCGAAATTCATTCGCTTCATTCTATAAATTTGAATACTCATTCTCGGTCCAAACTTATCAAAGAAATTTGTGTAGGGTTTTGACAAAATGTATTAAAGATAAGCAACCATGACTAAACCATATTTAGACCAAAGTATTAAATATAGTGAAAATTTTCAAAAGTACGTAAAACACTGTTATCAGGTCAAGAACAGTTTTTCCCAACTCTACAAACTTAACGTATGTAAAATTTAATGAATTATGTTGAAAAGTTGTGAGCTGAAAGATGAAAAACAAGAGAAACACCATCTTACACTTTCAGATGGAACAGGTTCCATCATATTCCAATCGAATTTTTCTGTTTTGTCATGTAAATATTGCTTAAACAACTCTTTGAAAGATATCATTTGGTTTATGAAGGCTTCTTTTTTTGGAGATGAATTTGGTATAGTATTAACAAGCAAATCCAAATCCGCTGCCAAGGCTTTCTCAGCATCCTTGAGTGTTAGTTCCTTGAAAAGACTAGAAGTCTAAAACGCATCAAAGTGACAGTAAATACAAATTTTCAGAACAGTCAAGATCATAAACACTTTAATTAAACACATGGACATGACAAACAATACACTGGAATAATGTAACTTCTAGACATCCCGTGTTGAACAACATGGGCTTTAGTTACTACAAAATCCTCACACAGCATATACGAAGTGAAAATTAACAATATTATTTTTGTTTCAAACTCCTAAAAGTAGGTAGTCACGGAGATATTTTCCTTCAAAATAAGAGAGAAACAAACAAATAAAGGATGTTTCGAACATCTATTTGCAATTTTTGTTTTTTGAAAGACAAAAATCCTTAATTTTATATGATTCAGATATCAGTTTCTAGAAAAATCACATCACTTAAAAGCCGTCCATATGCCTATAAATACCAATGAATTTATTTTTGTTGCTCAACGATGTTTTCGTCTCGCAGCATGACAGGAAAGCATTTCATGACATCGCAAAAGAAATAATCCTTAAGACGCAGAAACCAACTCTACTTACATCAGACGGCATCTTAACAATCTTTTAAAATGAGTCCTAGGTCAGACGTTCATTATATGACAATATTCAAACACCTGTTGTGAATAACTCCCCACTAATTCATTTTCAGTAGATGAAATTTAATGGCAAGTTAAAAGACTGATCCGGAATTGGAGCGTCTCCCCAAGTTGGTCCCGTAGATCAACTGCGTGAGCTGAGTAACTACGTAACGTAATTACCATTCATTAACCAATATAGAAATATTAGGGTCTTTTTGAATTACTGACTGGATGCCAGCCAAATATACCACATCTTTGCTTTACAATAGTAAAGAAATTAATGTATATTGTCAGAGTGCACTTTACTCAAAAGTCTGCTTGGAACCTCTTCAAATATATGCTCAAGAGTACAATGATAAGATACTGAATAGTGTTTAGGTGTCAAATATGAGTCAAATAAACCACAGAATATCACTTATGAGCACAGTCAATCATATTCCTTTCTTCACTAAAATGAATTTGATCAAGTTTTGTTCTCTGATATGGGTAGTTTTGTCATGGAGTTTTCATCGTTCGGTCTTTCAATCACGATGGGTAGTTGCTGCAAGTTAAATCAACCAAATTCTGTTTCCGTAAAGTCAAAGCATCTGTATAGCGGTGAAGTAACTGACACGGTGATGCTAGGCTACAAGCATAGGAATATATTAAATCCTAGTACTTGGCAAAAACCAGGAGACAGCTTGAATTATAGGCTTTCGGGCCGTGTATATGCTACTGATCCGAAATTACTGTATTTGACTTCTAAAGCTTTGTAGCCCTCTTAGTGGCAATAAAATAGTCCGGACGTTGTAGACCAACCATCTAAAACGGTTCCATTTTTCTTTTTTTTTAGATTTATTACTTGGTGAAATATTAAAACACATATTGTGCATCCCTTGATCTGTTTACTAGTGTTTGGATGGGCCTCGTTGTCTCATGTTGATTCTAAAATTATTCTCCCAGGTATACATATACCACATATGGTGGTTCATCGTGTAGATAGGCTGATTTTAGCCTATCAAGACTTATCGTGTAGCGTCTGGTACTATACCAAGTCCGACCAGCTTATTCACTATTCCCAAGCCATATTTCGACCTTGTTACTCATTTGCTTATTATCCTTGACTTTTTATATGATCGTATGTGTGTTGATTGCTTACGCCATTCATTACGTGTCTTTAATTTATTTTCGTTTGAATGAAAATATTGAGTCATGCTTGATCAAGACGAGTTGGTTCACTCGCCGTATTCTCTGCACCTCACCTCGTCTGGTTTCACTTCGCTTCCCGCACTTCGTTTCTCAGATCGTCCATTCAAATCAATGAGTGTACAGACTATATTCTAGTATTTGTCCATTTCGTTGTGCTATTCCCTAACATAAACTAAATCGATAAAAGTATACGAGGGTTGACGACGTGTATATTTTGACAACAATCAGCATATTATCTGACTGCATTCAGATACAGGGCCATCAAAATTAAGTCTGTGTTTGCGGGTGTTCATTTAACAAATATTTCGGTTTACGTCAAACTACCGTGGGTAGATCTTTAAACGGACGTCTGAGAAGTACGTTATAGTGGCCCAGTAGATTGATGGTGATATGCCGAAGAACGTGCCCCTTGAGCTCCCAAAAATCCCAAACAAAACCTTGTATGACTCATATTAGTTTCCTCTATAAGTTTTCACTGTGACAGGTTCATCAAAATTGGCTACTCAGATCTCAATTAAAGTTGGACGCCAATACATCTGATCTGAATATGATACTCTTTAAGACGCACATATGCGTTCATGTCAAAATTTGCAGTACTTTTGTGTCCTCTCTCTTACAAAAACGAGACGGGCGATGAGGACAAATATGAGAAGTATTGTGCAATTAATTCTATTTATGGCTTTATTAAAATATGAGAAGATTGACTTCGCCACCCTATACTATTCTCGTTATAACACAAAAGAATAAAAGGCAGCTTGATGGTAGTTTATGACATATTATGCATCTTGGGTCACCATGACCGAAATTATTACCTAGAACCCACTCTCCCATCCCACGAGGCAATCCTCAATTGATTTTACATGAAATGGTAAGAAATGTTGTAGAATTATGGTCTACTATGATATTAGTACTGCTCTAATAATAGACCTAATCCTAAAATTGTAGATTTGTCATGATATAACTGCCTAATCTATAAGATCTTACGCGGAAGTCATACCATCGAATACACCAACTCACTGTATCGTATCAATTACTAATACATGATGTAGAACAAGGTTAGATTAGAGAAGGAACAATATATTCAATATGAATAGAAGATATAAAATAACATTCAACAAGGACCACGCCTGCATGGCCGAGCCATGCCATCCGATCAACTCTCATTCATTCAATTCCTTGTGCGCGCCTTCTCCATCGTTAAGTATTTCTCCGTGTTAAATATTGAATATCTATTTTCCGAGCAATCTCGTATTCAGTTTTGAAGATTGTATGGTTATTGTCTAATGCCACTACCAGGTCACACTTTCTCACCATAGTCTAGTCTGACACATATCTCTCAATGCATAAATGATCACTGTGTTAATAGTTTTAGTTATTGTTCTTACACATTATCCCCTCGACTTCGTTTCCCGTTATCCCCGCCCAACTGACTATACTTACGTTTTAGTTCATTGGTTTTTTCGCCTAATTAATTTCCCTAATTCTCTTGAGAATCATATTTTGGTCGCTTCATTTCATTCCAGCGTTATAATTTCCATACTGCTACCTACAAGTCTCGTGACTCATAAAGTAATAGCTACTTGTTTCGTGAGCCTAAATGCCCTTGAACAAACAACTTCACTTAAACAGATGATGTACTGACCCGTAAATAATTGTCGAGTTTACCAAGTTCAGTCAGTTGGCTAACCCAACTTCATTGGATACTACCAAACATCTGGAAGCATTACATAGCACCAATAAACTGGCGCGCAGAAATCATCTGGTTGACTTCAGGTTAGACGTTATCGCATTAAAAAGGTACTATCAGGTGTGACTAACAAAGAGAGGATATACGGGTATTTTTAACAAGCTGTGAATATTTTGGCACGGACTCATGATAAGGACAGATATGCATATCAAAATAAGTTGTCCGGCAGGTTCTAGAACACAAACATGCTAATTGACGTCCGACAATGATAGCTTTTTTTACTTAAAAACAGCATTTGACTCCGTAGATCACGAGATTCTGTGGCAGTGTCTGTCATTAAAAGGCCTGCCTCAGAAGTACATGAACCTTGTGAAGGCTCTTTACTTGAACACTACTAGTCGAGTCAGAGCTTATGGCGAACTGTCATCTGATTTTGCAACCTCATGTGGTGTCCGTCAAGGTTGTTCACTATCTCTGTTCCAGTTTAACTTCATCATAGACTTACTGCTTGGAAAAACGTTGTCGTCGTTTGAACTTTCAGGGCTTGATCTCCATCCAGGAGGTCCACTTATCGACTTAGAATACGTAGATGGCATGGTCATGTTTGGTGGAAACGCTGACAAAAATCCGATGTAGACATAAAGGCGAGGATTGACAAAACAAGGACCACAGTCCTACAAATGAAGGACATATGGAGCTCAAATCAATTGTCAACCAATATCAAAGTCAGAATCTTCAATACAAACGTCAAGACAGTTCTGCTGTACAGAGCTGAAACGTGGAGAACATCTACAAACATCATTTAGGGGGTACAAGTATTTATAAATTGTTGTCTGAGCAAGATATTCAACATTAATTGACTGGATACCATCAGCAACACCATTCTGTGGGAGAAGACAAACGAACTTCCAGCTGAAGAGGAAATTGGGAAAAGAAGTTGGGAGGGGATAGGACATACATTACGGAAATAATCAAACTGCATCACGAGGCAGGCCCTAACTTGGAATCCTGAAGGGAAGTAGGAAAGAGGAAGGCCAAAGAAGACATTCTGTCGGGAAATACAGGGATGAATAACAACCGGAAAAAGCTGGAAAGGATTGCCCGGGACAGGGTTGGATGGGGAGTGCTGATGGACGACCTATGTTCCTCCATGAGGAGTAACAGTTATAAGTAATTGAGCGAATGTTGAAATTATCTCATAGAATAAATGCGTAGCCTGATCTTCTCAGTCCTGGCAGTCAAGCTGTCCTCTTTTTTAGCGTCCAGTAGTGTTATGGTGGGTCTGTAAAAACATAGGTTGAATAGTTAAGAGTTAATCCCAAACAACTAAGTATGTGTCAAAAAAATAAGGCTCCAGTATTCATTCACTTCCTTTTTGCATAAGCATTGTATTTACTATTATCTTATACTGAACACTGAAAAGTGTTGTGTGCCTTGTCTGCTCCGCTGTGACTGTCTCATGAGCTAAATGAAGACCTATACACTACTAATGTGGTTTCTTCTATCAATAAAACGAGGGTTACCTTCCGGCACGAAAGGTCAACTGAGATTCAACTTTTTGATCACCGGAAATCTCGCAATGACTACTGAATGTGATTGGTCGAGGCATAAACAGATGAATATGAGTAAATGCATACCCCTTTAAATCGGTTTCACCCGGTAAAACGTCTTTCTTTATGATCAAAGTTCTCATCCAACAGCTGTTTTAGAGAACTTGTATGGGGAGTTTGTATTTAAGTACCAATTTTGGACACCGCTTGTCACAAAAAAGAAATCGGATCCAACATAAAGGCTGTCTGCATTCAGGAGCTCAAACTAAACTAACACAAAGATAGGTTAAGGCAGGGCAGTAGTAATAGTTTGCCATGTGATATTTCGATAAAACATTTAAGGGTCAATTATTATTCTTTCAAAGTAAGCATGAATCCAGATTAATGGAGAATTTAGTCGAGGTTCAATTTTATTTCACTGGTCCTTTAACCTAAACGGGATGGTTCCAAAATGAGTCTTACCCTAATAACGAATCTTCTGATTCTGGTGGGTAACTGGACTAATATATTCTGTTTAAAGCATAAATTTGATGCCTTGTATCTTGATATTTAAAAAGTATTTGATTGGGTAATTCATGTTTTGCTTTATCGACAAACCCAAGAAAATAGGTGTTAAACCATCTTTGATCAACTGCTTCATGTCATACTTGAAAGGTCAGTTATCTAGTATCTGAGTATACTATTTCTCCTTGATATGTACAGTATTTTAACGTTTCATCACGGATG